GCTGGGGGGCTCAGCGCCTGGGTCCACACTCAGTCCCATCCCATTGCCTCCCAGGATGGCTCTTGGCCCAGTGATCACTGTCAGCCAGCGGGGGACTGCACATGAGCCGGAATGTGTGGGGTTCGGCCTGTGCATCCTGCCCCCCAGATCACCCACAGGGACACCAGGGGCCCTACAGGAGCTGCCTGTGTCTCAGACCCAAGGGAATGTGGCAGGAAACAGTAAATGAAAAGCACCATGAGGGCCGGGCACGGTGGCTCACGCCGGTAATCCCAGCACTTTGGGAGGCACAGGGTATGTGCAAGGACATTTGCCGTGGCATTATTTATAATAGAGACACCAGCTGCATGCCCAACAGTGGGGGAGGTCAAGGGCACAATCCACACTGAAGGATCAGGCACAGTCATTACACATCACATCACAGACGAGGACTTACTGACGTGTGAAAAATATCACGATATTTGCAAAAGGGGGAAAAAGTCAGCTACCAAGGAGCGTGCCCCACAGAATCTCGCTTGCATAGGCGTGCAGGGAATGTACGCAGGAGAAAAATACTGAGCTGGTTTACCCTTAAATACCAACAGCTGTTCTCCTCCAGTGGGTGATGTTTTTCTCTTCTGGGTCTGTTTTCCAACTCTCTGCACTGAGCACACATCACTGACATCAGTGCACAGAGGATACTGTGGGGCGGTGGCCAAAGCTAGGCATGCAGACACTGGAGGCAGACTCCCCGCCCGGGTTCAAAGCCCAGCTCTGCTCCTGACGAGTTCTGGGACCTTGAGCAAGGGATTTAACTTCTCCGGGGCTCAGCGTCCCCATCTGCAAACAGGGAAAGTAATGATACCTTTCTCAAAGAGTCAGGTGTAACTCACCCAATAGGGTCGGCGCTGATTTACTTGTTTGCCTTTCTTCCTAAAACCCCTGAAATTTCTTCTTTATATCCCTGGCAGCAACCACAGTGCCAGGAACGCGGCAGGTGCTCTCGTAGAGTCTGCTGAATGAATGAAGGAGGGAGTTTATGAATTCATGTAAGGACAGAGATAGTATCAGATGAGTTAATACATGCAGGAGGCTTAGAGCACTGTCTAGCGTTTAGAAAACTGGAATTGTCATTACGGTAAAGAAATTACAGAAGAGGAAAGTATTGAGAGAACAATATGAACCAAGTTTTTTGAATGGTATAGAAAGGAGTGTTTTGCATTGCTTTGTTTTGTCTGTGAGACAAGGTCTTGCTCTGTCACTCAGGCTGGAGTTTCAGTGGCACAACCACAGCTCGCTGCAGCCTTGACTTCGTGGGCTCAAGCAATCCTCCCAAGTAGCTGGGACTACAGACGCATGCAGCATTGACTGGCTAATTTTTACCTTTTTTTTTTGTACAGACGAGGGTCTTGCTATGTCGCCTAGGATCGTCTCAAACTCCAGAGTTCAAGTGATCCTTCTGCCTCTGCCTCTGTCTCTGCCTCTGCCTCCCAAAGTGCTGTGTTTACCAGCATGAGCCACGACACACAGCTGTTTGGTTATTTCTTTTGAACTTTTCTGTATTGAGAATAGTTGAGTGAAACATGCATTATGCATCACTTTTATAATTTGGGAGGACACAAAATGTTACCTTTTGAAAGAAAAAAAACTGAGAGGGTAGTTTGAAAAGCGCTGACGGGAAACGCCAGGTGAAGCAGGTTAGCCACGCCCACGCCCTGTGCGTGTCAAGGCCGTGTGTGGGTGAGCCTGTCTCAGGCGCCTACTCCCGCCCCCATATGCCAGCTTGCACGTCTTCTCATTCATAAAGAACGAGACACCCAGAAAGCCCATGTCAATGCTGAGTTACAGGCTCTGAAAATATCTTCAGCTAAATCTCTCCTTCGATAGATAAATAGATAACACAGATACCCATATATAGAGGTGCATGTCTCTATTTATCTATGTAAGAATTATAAGCTCTTTTTTGTTTATTTTTTTTGAGACCGTGCCTTGCTGTGTTGCCCAGGCTGAAGCACAATGGCACGGTCTCAGCTCACTGCAAGCTCCACCTCCGGGGTTCAAGGGATTATCCTGCCTCAACCTCCCAAGTAGCTGGGATTATAGGCATCTGCCATGTATTTTTGCATTTTTAGTAGAGACAGGATTTGACCATGTTGGCCAGGCTGGTCTTGAGCTCCTGACCTCAGGTGATCCACCTGCCTCAGCCTCCCAAAGTGCTGGGATTAAAATATCTACAGCTAAATCTCTTGTTAGATCGATAAACAGATAAGGTAGATATCCATATAGAGAGGTGTATGTATCTATGTATCTATATTTATCTATCAAGAGAACCTTTAACTCCAGCTGTAAAAAAGAATGTCCAACTCTTGGTCCTCCATGTATCGCCCCAACACAGTGCTTGCCACGATACGGTCATCGCTGATTTACTCTTCCGAAAACCCCTGAAAGTTTCTTCTTTGTATCCCTGGCACCTACCACAGCGCCGGGCACACAGCAGGTGCTCCTGAAGAGTCTGCTGGATGAATGAGAGGCAGTGCCTGAACTCCTATCAGAGCAGAAATCCACATGTCAGGGTACAGAGACGGAACATGAGGATTAGCTGTGTCTGGGGTGAGGACAGGTCCAGGAAGGATCAAAGATGGGCAAGTAAGGCTTGGAAGGGTGAATGTGTGCGACCCCCAAAGAAAAGGGGAGAGGGAGGGATGGGGGACAGCTATCCTGTCAACGAGAACATCATTTAAAGATCCTTGATCACACCTGCAATCTCAGCACTTTGGGAGGCAAAGGCAGGTGGAACACCTGAGGTCAGGAGTTTGAGACCAGCCTGACCAACATGGAGAAATCTTGTCTCTACTAAAAATACAAAAATTTGCCAGGAGTGGTGGTGGGTGCCTGTAATCCCAGCTACTCGGGAGGCTGAGGCAGGAGAATAGCTTGAACCCAGGAGGTGGAGGTTGCATTGAGCTGAGATTGAGCCATTGCACTCTAGCCTGGGTGACAAACTCAAAAAAATAAATTAATTAAATAAATAAAAATAAAAATAAGAAAGATCCTGTAATTGGGCTGAGTGTGCTGGCTCACACGTGTAATCCCAGCACTTTGGGAGACTGAGGCAGGAGGATCGCTTGCGCCAAGGGGTTGAAGACCAGCCTGAACAACATACTGAGACCTTGTCTCTCTAAAAATCAAAGAAAAGGGCCAGGTGTGGTGGCTCATGCCTGTAATCCCAGCACTTTGGGAGGCTGAGGTGGGTGGATCACAAGGTCAGGAATTGAAGACCAGCCTGGCCAACATGGCAAAACCCCAAACTAAAGATGCAAAAAAATTAGCTGGGCATATGGGCAGGTGCCTGTAATCCAAGCTACTCAAGAGGCTGAGGCAGGAGAATTGCTTGAACCAGGAAGACAGAGGCTGCAGTGCCACTGCACTCTAGCCTGGGTGACAAAGCGAGATTCTGTCTAAAAAAAAAAAAAAAAAAAAAAAAAAGAAAGAAAGAAAGAAAAAGAAAAAGAAAGAAAAAATAATGAAAAGAAAAAAAATAGCTAGGTGTGGCATCCTACACCTGTGATCCCAGCTACATGGGAGGCTGAGGCAGGAGGATCCTTTGAGCCTGGGAAGTGGAGGCTGCAGTGAGCAGTACACGAAAGAAATCCGTGATCCTTCAGCAGCCATTTCTTGTTTTACCAACTCCTCGCCCCTGGCAACCCACTCACCTATTTTCCGTCTCTATGGCTTGGCTTGTTCCCGACATTTCACACACATGGAATCAAGCAATGTGTGTTTTTTTGTGTGTCGGGCTTCTTTCACTAAATATTACGTCTTCCAGGTTCATCCCGCTGTAGCATGAGCGAAGTGTGACAGTTGATGCGTCGATGGATGAAGGCTATATACATTCATTCCACACATGTTTACTGAGCACCTACTCTGTGCCAGTCTTGGGGACCCAGCCAGGAGTAGAACTGACAGTGAACCCTGCCCTGAAGCGTTTCTGGTTAGGGAGGAGAGGCAATAAACCGGATAAACTAGTACATTATTTGGAATATTAGACTCTGATAAGAGCTCCAGTGAAGCGTGCGGTAGGAAGCTGGGTGGCGAGAGAGAGGGATAAGACTTTAAGCACAGTGGTCCACAAAGGCCTCGCCGCAGGGGGGCCGCAGGGACGCTCCAGCCCAGCTCCGAAGGCGAGAAGCGCGGTGCCCGCCCCGGCGACTCCGGGCCAGCAAGGAGGTCCCAGAGCACGCGTTGGTCCCTCAAGGGCCGTGGCCCTGCGTGTCCCGTCCACGCCGTGGCCTGGCGCCTGGGACGGTGGGTGGCACCGGGGCGCATTTCGCGCGGCAAGGCTGCGGCCTGCCTTTGAAGGGACCGAGTCGGACGTCGCGGGGTGGGGGCGGACACCGAGAGTCCCAGGGTCGCGGACGACGAGGACGCCCACCCCGCGAGCCCACCCCGTGGCCCTCGCGCCCCGCCCCCGGCCGCAGGCCCCGCCCCGCGCCGCCCGGCCCCGCCTCCCCGCGGCCGCCGCCATTGGCCGCGCGCGCCGCCTCCGCCCTCGGCCTCGCACTTCCTGGCGGAGCCATGGCTGCTCAGCGGGCAGGCTGGGGGGCTCCTGCGCCCGGGCCCCGCCGCCCCGACCGCCCGGCCCCGCCGCCCGGGCTGCCCGCGCCGCTCCCGTAGCGCGTCCTGCCAGGTGGGCCTTCGCGCGCGCGCACCCTGCAGCCCAGGACCGCCGGGAAGCCGCGCCCGGCCGGGGCGGGGGGCGGGCGGAGATCGGGAGAGTCCCCGGCCCGCGCGAGTCGCGACCCCTTGCGCCCCTTGGTGCCGGGGCGGGCGGGTGGGCAGGTGGGGGCGCCGCGGCCGGGAGAAGAGGCCGGGAGAGGGGCCGCCGCCCCCGCAGGTGACACAGGTGCGGCCTGCGCGGCCCGCCCCGTGCGTGGCAGGTGAGTGGCTCCCGCTGAGGGCCGTCCCGACTCCGCCTCCTCGCCGGCGGCTCAAGCCTGCCCGGGCGGCCGTTGCGCCGAGTTCCGTCCGGGCCGCGGGGTCCGAGCGAGCGACAGCGGCGCCCCAGGAGACCCCACCGGCGAGTCGGTGTCCGCAGCGTCGCTTCCTCCCACGCTGAGGTCGAGAGGGAGCTTGGGGAGGAGGCTCCCTGGGAAACCTCCGGTCCGGATGAGGCCTGCGTCCCGTGTTTACTGGAAGACCTCCTACAGTGACTTGGGATTGTCACTGTGCTGGCCTTGACCCTTCACCTGCTTCCGGAAAGTGTCGGAGGCTGCTGACGTCCAACACAGGTGGAAATCAGCCCCCACCCCACCCACTTGCAGGAGACGGCGAGGAGCCTCCGTCCCCGGAAACTCTCTCTAGGTATCTTGGCCTAGAAAAGAAAGCGATGAACGTTAGAGGGCCAAGCTGAGCCCGGGCAGGCTGCCTGGGGTGGTGGAGAGAAAGGACACCTGCTGCTTTCTGCTCTGTGACCTTGGGCCTCCCCCCTGGGGCACCCGAGCACCGGGTGTCACTGTGGGAGCCACGGTGGCACCTGTCTCGGAGGGTGAAGGTGGAATGAAGTCGGGGCCGCGGTGGGCACTGCACCAACGCTGCTTTTCTTCTCTTCCCTCTCTGGGCCCTGCGGCATCTGGGCTCTCCAGCAGTGGGGAGGGCCGGGGGTGGGAACAGCTTGTCACTGCCACGAAGTTCCTAGTTAGTCGAGCAAATCTAGTTGCCCCTTCTCTCCCTAGGGCAGTTGCACAGGACGGACTGTGCCCTAATTCACTCCTCCCATGGGAACACTGGAGTCCCCAGTTATCTAAGAACAGTGCTGACTTCTTGTCACCTTGTTCTGTGTTAGTAAAGGCTGTTTGTTCAATAGGTAACAGACTCTTCTCATGAACTTAAATAGCAGGGGGAAAAAAATCCCCTTTAAAACCTCAGTATGTGACTTTTACTAGTGTTAGTTGGCAAAGTCCCTTCTCTGCGTTCTCCTCCTTTTTTGAAGGACCTCCCCCCACCAACTCTGCCTGGAGGCATCTCCCCACCCAAGGGCCAGGCAGTGTATCCTAAGAGTTAAGAGCCTGGAAGCTTCCCTGAGCTGTGTAACAGTGGGCAGCTTATGTCACCTCACGGCTCTCAGCATCCTCCAGTTGCAGTGCTGGCCTCTTGGGGTTGCAGTGGGGACTGAGTGATGGGACAGTGTGTGTCTAGAATGTACTGTGAACGCGGTAGTCCTTACTGTACCATGCTCCCCCACATCATGAATTTTTAAAGCGTGATACTGTCAAACCCTGGGCCTCACTCAGCAGTGTGTCATGTGATGGGTCCAGGTTTTGAAGCTGGACAGACCCAGGTGTGATTCTCAGCCATTTACGTGCCTTGTGACCGTCAGATCAATATCCTCATCTGGGAAATGGGATAAACAATGTCATCCTGGCCAAGTGTAAGCTTTGTGGGGGTTAAGTGGCACAGGTCAGTCCCTTAGCTTGGCTCCAGGGCTGTCGTCTGGGCTCCGAAATCATATCTTTATAACCTTGACGTGGGCAAAAGGTCATTATCTGTAGGAAATGGAGAAAATGTCATGCTGTTGGTGGATTTTAGATGATAAAGGAATGCGAGTTAAATATTCCGTCCAATTCTAACAGCCTTTTTCTCAACTCAGCCTAAAAGAGTTCTTTGTAGTGCACCGTCCTCCCTCCCTCCTTCCTCCGTGTGACTGTTTTCACTGTCGTCCTGGGTATCTGCCAGCAGGGCCTGAAATTAATGAATGACTTAGAGTCACCACTGCATGCTCAGAAATCCTGTTCTTCTCCTAGGGCTGAGATCTCTTTAATGATGGAGGGAAGCAGGCAGACTCGGGTGTCTCGGCCATACAAGATCAGCGAATCATCAAAGGTCTGTGGATGTTCCCTCACCACCTGTGCAAAATCGCCTACAAGTGTGATCCTTTTTCTGATTCACTCATTTCTAATCACAGACTAATTTTTCCGTCATTGGTGTTGTTAATCTTAATGACAAGTAAAGGTAGAAATGGGCAAGGAGAGGAGACTATCACAAACTCAGTGGGAAATACGAGGGACGTTAGAGATGCTATGGCCAGAGGTCTTCCTTTTTTGGTGTGACATTCCAGAGCTTTCTCTGTGTGAAAACTTGACTCATTGATCACCCTGAGGAGGAGGGTGGCACAGGAAGAAAACTGGGATTCCCATACCCACATGGGGGCTCAAAAACTCCAAGGACAGGTCCATGGAGAACCCAGCCTTCTACCTTAGGGTGAGGACAGCACACTGTGTACCTGGAGCTTAAGGGCCTGGAGTCCTCGTCCCCAGTCATAACTCCCTGGGAACCAACAGCAAGTGAGGATGAGTTCCCAGAGCCAAGCTACTGGGGGAGTTTTAATTAGAAATATGTAGCCTGGCCCCACCTGCCCCATTGAAATCCAAGAGCAAGATCCAGGCTGCTATACTTTCAACAGACTCGGTCCCCACAGCTGCTGTTGGTAAAGATTGGGGGTAGGGGAGGTGGGGGCATTGGCATGAGGTTCCTGGTTACAACTGTCTCCTTATAAATATTAATAGTGCCTTCTGTTGTGTAGAGGTATCCCTTTTGGAGGTTAAATTTTCTGGCTACCTCAGATCATAGATTCTCAATGAGTATGATATTGCCCTGAAGTGGGTGAAAATTGGTTCTTGGGAGGGTGGAAGGAATTTTACTCCTTTTATGCGTAAGACACAATTATATATACACAGTACATGAGCACACTGTGGTGGTAAAATTTTGCTGGGAAGGCTATTAGGGGAAAAATCTCAAAAGCCTCCCTGCGGGGATGATAATGAAAAAAGACAAACACTGCTGTAGACGAAGGGAGTTGGGAGCCGCCTATAGATTTGAGAAAAAGTGGGGAGAAAAGAGCCTACAGATTCTAAAAGAAAAACTGGCTGTCGTTTTCAGGAGAGGTTGGCTCTCCTGAGAAATGACCTCCTATTCCCACGTGAGTTCACCAAGAAGGTTCCTGCCAAGTCCAGCTTTATCGAATGTGAGAACGCAGCAAGGTCTCGCTGCTCGCTCAGAAGGGCTTTGTTTGAGGGCCTGGCCTGGGAGACAGTGCTGCTTTCTAAGTCTGACGGCACTGGAAATCTTTGTCCCTTAACACCAGGACCCTGACTTTGTTTCTCTCCGAACCAAACTTCTTAGGTTTCGGTATCACTTGATGATGTTTCTCACTTTTTGTGTGTTTTTTTGAGGCAGAGTCTCACTCTGCTGCCAGGCTGGAGTGCAGTGGCACAATCTTGGCTCACTGCAACCTCTGCCTCCCAGGTTCAAGCAGTTCTCCTGCCTCAGCCTTCCCAAATAGCTGGGACTACAGGTGCACACCACCATACCTGGCTAATTTTTGTATTTTTAATAAACACAGGATTTATCCATGTTGGCCAGGATGGTCTCAATCTCTTGACCTTGTGATCCACCTGCCTCGGCCTTCCAAAGTGCTGTGATGACAGGCATGAGCCACTGCACCCAGCCTGTTTCTAACTTTATTTTTAAGAAGTGCCCAAATCAGAAGTGTACCTGTGAATTTCTAGACGTTAAACACACCTATTACCAGCAGCCAGATGGGCAAAAAACAGAACCCTACAAAAGCCTCCCAGACGGTACACTCAAGAGAGTCACTGTCCTAGCCCCACCACAGTGATTCAGTCTGCTTTTGAGCTTCATTTAAACAGGATCTGGGGTGTGTCTGGTTTCTTTTGCTCCACATTGTGCCTCTGAGACGCACTGTGTTGCTGTGTGTAGTTTGAAGTGGTAGACTGTTCATTCTCAGCATGTCGGAGTCTCCCCACCGTGTGCCCACACTGCTCACCTGTCTGCCCTAAAAGATGTGTTGCTCAGCCAGGCACAGTGGGTGGCGCCTGTAACCCCAGCACCTTGGGAGGCCGAGGCGGGAGGATCTCATAAGCTGAGGAGTTTGAGGCCAGCTTGGACAACATGGCTAAACCTCATCTCTACAAAAGATACAAAAATTAGCTGGGCATGGTGGCACACACCTGTAGTCCGAGATCCTCGGGATGCTGAGGTGGGAGGTTTGCTTGAGCCCAGGAGGCAGAGGTTGCAGTGAGTTATGATTGCACCGCTGAACTCCAACCTGTGTGGCCACGCAAGACCCTGTCTCAAAAAAAACAACAACAATGTGTTGCTCCATGCTGAGGCTCAATTCATTTTCCACATCTAATACCCTGGACCTCCTACCTCCTCCCAGGTATAAGCCCCTGACTACCTGAGTTTCTCCCTCTGCTCGGCCTTGCATTTGATTAAGGTACTAAAATAAGAAATACAGAAATGAACAGGACTCCTGCCACCAGAGAATGCTGTGGATTGGAGTTTCTAAATTACCTGAAATGCTGACACTCTGTTACCTTAAAATTGTCCCTTAAAATTGGGAAATCAACCAGCTGCAGTGGCTCACACCTGTAATCCCAATACTTCGGGAGGCTGAGGTGGGTGGATGATGTGAGGTCAGGAGTTGGAGACCAGCCTGGCCAACATGGTGAAACCCTGCCTCTACTTAAAATAAATGAATGTATGTATGTATGTAGTGTGTGTATATATATATTTGCACATGCTGCATTCCAGGTGCAGTGGCTCATGCCTGTCATCCCAGCACTTTGGGAGGCCGAGGCTGGCGGATCACCTGAGGTCAGGAGTTCAAGACCAGACTGGCCAACATGGCAAAACCTTGTCTCTCGTAAAAATACAACATTAGCCAGGCATAGTGATGCACGCCTGTAGTTCTGGCTACCTAGGAGGCTGAGGCAGGAGAATCACCTGAACCAGGGAGGGAGAGGTTGCAGGCAGCTGAGGTCTCACCATTGCACTGCAGCCTGGGCGACAAGAGCAAAACTCCATCTGAAAAAAGAAACAAACAAAGATTAGCTGGGTGTGGTGGCACGTGCCTGTAATCCCAGCTACTCAGGAGGCTAAGGCAGGAGAATCACTTGAACTTGAGGTGAAGGTTGCAGTGAGTCGAGATCGAGCCACTGTACTCCAGACTGGGCGACAGAACAAGACTCCATATAGGGGGAAAAAAAGGGAAATCATGTGTGTGTGTTTTTGGGAAGTTGTCATCTATGCAGCTGTGCTAAAACACCAGAAGCAGGTTGCAGCTGAGACCCGTGTACAGTGTCACTCCAGCCCACTTAGAACAGATACCCTGTAATATCCTATAAAACCACACTGCTCTTGCCCCTGCTCCAGCTCACTGGAGTGATGGCTTCCCTCTTGGCAGCTGTTAGCTGGGGCTTTCCCAAGGCCTGCCCCTGGGGCCCTTCCCCTCTTTACACTGAAGTCTGGAGTTGTGTGTCTCCATCTAAACATGGCAGGGCCAGCATCCTACCAGTGTGGAGACGGCCGGGCCGGGCTGGCAGATAGCCTTATGCCATTACTCGCATCTCTCAGGCCACTAAGCCGGCACTATTACTTGATCAATTAATTTCCTTCCTTTAGCTCACACCCAAGAGGGTCCTCCAGTCAGTGTCTGCAGGAACACAAAGGATTCCTGCTTAATTAGAAGCTGAGGCCTGGCACAGTGGCTCATACCTGTTATCCGAGCACATTGGGAGGCTGAGACAGAAAGATTGTTTGAACTCAGGAGCTCAAGACCAGCCTGGGCAATGTAGTGAGACCCCAATTCTACAGAAAATAAAAGTAAAAAATAGCCGGGTATGGTGACGCACACCTATAGTCACAGCTGCTGAGGAGACTGAAGCGGAGGGATTGCTTGAGACTAGGAGTTTTTGTTTCGTTTTGGTTTGGTTTTGAGATGGAGTTTTTTTTTGCTTTTGTTGCCCAGGCTGGAATATAATGGGGTGATTTCAGCTCACTGCAACCTCTGCCTCCGGGGTTCAAGCAATTCTACTGCCTCAGCCTCCCGAGTAGTTGGGATTACAGGCACGCGCCACTATACCCAGCTAATTTTGTATTTTTTTTTTCTTAATTTCCTTTTTTATACCCTTAAAAAAAAAATGGAACGATTCACGAATTTGTGTATCACCCTTGTGCTGGGGCCAAGCTAATCTTCTCTGTATTGTTCCAATTTTGGTATATGTGCTGCCGAAACGAGCACTAATTTTGTGTTTTTAATACGGATGGGCTTTCACCATGTTGGCCAGGCTAGTCTCGAACTCCTGATCTCAGTTGATGCACCCACCTCGGCCTCCCAAAGTGCTGGGATTCCAGGAGTGAGCCTCTGTGCCCAGCCAAGCCTAGGAGTTTGAGGCTGCAGTGACCTCTGATCTACGACTACACACCAGCCTGGGCGACAGAGCAAGACCCTGTTTCTAAAAATGAGATATTTTTTTTTAAAAGCCCATTGTAGGCCAACCTGGCTCTCTCTCTGAGTAACCAGGATAAACAGAGATACCCATGCACGTCACCTGTGAACCAAAAAGCCAGCCTGTCACGGAAGAGCAGTGGAGCCTGGCTCTCTGCACTTGGAAGGTGATATCTGCATGGCATCCTCTGCAGGTTGTGAGAACACGGCCTGCTCCTGTAATGTGGACAGAGCAATTGCTCTTGGAATTGACTAGACGTGGAAATCCCACAGGGAAATAGAGTGGCTCAGCGACAAATGCATACACGGCAAGGAAAAGAAGATTCAAAGGGGAAGAAAAAAATAAAACCCACTGCTGGAGGACACATGTTGAGAAGTAGTTTTTAAGGATTCAGAGCCTGGGCAGCTTAGGGAAACCCTGTCCCTCCAAATTACAAAAATCAGACAGGTGGGCCGGCCGCAGTGGCTCACGCCTATAATCCCAGCATTTTGGGAGGCCAAGGTGGGCAGATCACCTGAGATTGGGAGTTTGAGACTAACATGGGGAAACCCTGTCTCTACTAAAAATACAAAATTAGCCAGGCATGGTGGCACATGCCTGTAATCCTAGCTACTTGCGATGCTGAGACAGGAGGTTCACTTGAACCTGGGAGGCAAAGGTTGTGAGCCAAGATCGCACCATTGCACTCCAGCCTGGGCAACAAGAGTGAAACTCTGCTAAAAAAAAAAAAAAAAGAAATCAGACAGGTGTGGTAGTGTGTACCTGTAGTCCCAGCTACTCAGGAGGCTAAGGTGGGAGAATCACTTGAGCACAGGAGGTCAAGGGCAACATAGTGAGACCTTGTCTCTGCAGAAAATTTCTTATCTTAACCAGGCATGGTGGCACACATCTGTAGTCCCAGCTACTCAGGAGGCTGAGGTGGGAGAATCACTAGAGCCCAGGAGGTCAAGGGTGCAGTGAGCTGTGATCGTGCCACTGCACTCCAGCCTGGGCAACAGAGTGAGACCCTGTCTCAAAAAAAAAAAAAAATTCAACCCCAGCCGGGTGTGGTGGCTCACACCTGTAATCCCAGCACTTTGGGAGGCCGAGGTGGGCAGATCACAAGGTTAAGAGATCGAGACCATCCTGGCCAACATGATGAAACCCCGTCTCTACTAAAAATACAGAAATTAGCCAGGTGTGGTGGCACGCGCCTATGGTCCCAGCTACTTGGGAGGCTGAGGTGGAAGAATCGCTTGAACCCAGGAGACGGAGGTTGTGGTGAGCCAAGATTGCACCACTGCATTCCAGCCTGTCGACAGAGCAAGACTCCATCTCAAAAAAAAAAAAGAAAAAATTTCAACCCTTAGCTGCTAATACCTAATAGTCCTTGGTCAGTTTCCTTCCTCCCACTACATTTTCCCTTTTCTGGCCTAGTGCCCAGCCAGGTCTTTACCTCAGTCACCCTTGAATAGACCAGCTAGCTATGCGATAGTTTTGAATCTTCTGTTTCTCCCTATGTGGAATTTATCTTTTATTTATTTATTTATGTAGAGACAGGATTTCGCTTTGTTGCCCAGGCTGGAGTGCAGTGGCACAGTCATGGCCCACTGCAGCCCCAAGCTCCCGGGCTTGAGCGATCCTCCTGCCTCTGCCCCCTGAGCAGCTGGGACTACAGGCGCATGCCACCACACTCATTTTTATCTTCTTTGTAAAGCCAGGAATCTCGCTTTGTTGCCCAGGTTGGTCTTGAACTCCTGGCCTCAACTGATTCTCGCAACTCGTCCTCCCAAAGCATTGGGATTACAGGCATGAGCCACCATGCCTGACTTGAACTGTCTTGTTTGGTTTGGGGGTTTTCTGGGTTTTCTTTTTGAGACAGAGTTCTTGCTCTGTCTCCCAAGCTGGAATGCAGTGGCGTGATTTCAGCTCACTGCAACCTTCACCTCCTGGGTTCAAGCAATTCTCCTGCCTCAGGCTCCCGAGTAGCTGGGATTCCAGGCACACACTACCAAGCCTGGCTAATTTTCGTATTTTTAGTAGTAACAGTGTTTCACCATGTTGGCCAAGCCAGGCTGTAGCCATCCTCTGTCTAGGAGGCAGAGGTTGCAGTGAGCTGAGATCATGCCACTGTACTCCAGATTGGGTGACAGAGCAAGACTCTGTCTCAGATAAAAAGAGAGACAGCAAGTATGCATAAGCCGAGGTGGGCAGATCATAAGGTCAGGAGATCGAGACCATCCTGGCTAACACGGTGATACCCTGTCTCTACTCAAAATACAAAAAATTAGCTGGGTGTGGTGGCAGATGCCTACAGTCCCAGCTACTTGGGAAGCTGAGGCAGGAGAATCCTTGAACCCAGGAGGTAGAGGTTGCAGTGAGCCGAGATCATGCCGCTGCACTCCAGCCTGGGTGACAGAGAGAGAAAAAAAAGAAAACGGAAACAAACACGATACACATGCGTACGCAGAAACACCTATACCTCCTGCAGCGCCCTCTGACGCAGCATTTTATTTCCTGCTTTCTTCCGTTACGTCTTGTTGAGAATGCCGGTCAGGACCCACTGGGTTGGTCCAGGACCGAGCAGGCTGCTGTGCCATCTCTGACCTGTGTTCTCTGTCTAGGTGTACCGCTGGGCCGACCACTCAACCACCGTGCTGCAGCGGCTGAACGAGCAGCGTCTCCGCGGCCTCTTCTGCGACATCGTCCTGGTGGCCGATGAGCAGCGCGTGCCAGCCCACCGTAACCTGCTGGCCGTGTGCAGCGACTACTTCAACTCCATGTTTACCATCGGCATGCGGGAAGCTTTCCAGAAGGAGGTGGAGCTGATCGGCGCCTCCTACATCGGGCTCAAAGCCGTGGTGGACTTCCTGTATGGCGGGGAGCTGGTGCTGGACGGCGGCAACATTGACTATGTCCTGGAGACGGCCCACCTGCTGCAGATCTGGACGGTGGTGGACTTCTGCTGTGAGTACCTGGAGCAGGAGGTGAGCGAGGACAACTACCTGTACCTGCAGGAGCTGGCCTCCATCTACAGCCTGAAGCGGCTGGACGCCTTCATCGACGGCTTCATCCTGAACCACTTTGGCACGCTGTCCTTCACGCCCGACTTCCTGCAGAATGTCTCCATGCAGAAGCTGTGTGTCTACCTGAGCAGCAGCGAGGTGCAGCGGGAGTGTGAGCACGACCTCCTGCAGGCCGCCCTGCAGTGGCTGACGCAGCAGCCGGAGCGCGAGGCCCACGCCCGCCAGGTGCTGGAGAACATCCACTTCCCGCTCATCCCCAAGAACGACCTCCTGCACCGCGTCAAGCCGGCCGTGTGCTCGCTGCTGCCCAAGGAGGCCAACTGCGAGGGCTTCATCGAGGAGGCCTTGCGCTACCACAACAACGTGGCGGCCCAGCCCGTCATGCAGACCAAGCGCACGGCGCTGCGCACCAACCAGGAGCGCCTGCTGTTCGTGGGCGGCGAGGTCTCCGAGGGGTGTCTGGAGCTCAGTGACGACACCTGCTACCTGGACGCCAAGAGCGAGCAATGGGTCAAGGAGACGCCGCTGCCCGCCCGGCGGAGCCACCACTGTGTGGCGGTGCTGGGGGGCTTCATCTTCATCGCCGGCGGCAGCTTCTCACGGGACAACGGAGGGGATGCAGCCTCCAATCTTCTTTATAGGTATGACCCCCGCTGTAAACAGTGGATCAAGGTGAGATTAAAGCCAGATTATTTCTTTTCTCTTGAGGACTCTCTCGGTTTTCTTAAGCTAGCCTTGACTTTCCTTACCTCTCTGGGGCCTTGACAACTCTCCTGCTGCTGAACGAGGTGTGACGATAAAGCGACAGGTGGCATGCCCCAGGCCCACACACTGGACAGGGGCCAAGGGAGCTGGTCGACCCCCTTCGAGGGGGGCCCGTCATTGTTCAGAGCAGTGCTGCCTGGTGGGGCTTTGTGTGTGAATGGAAGGGCCTCTGTCTGCACTTCCCAGCCACACGTGGCGACTGAGCACCTGAAATGTGGCTGCTGTGACGGAAGAAGTCAGTTTTCAGTTTTATTTCACTGTAACTGATCGGTGTGTAAGTGTATACGGCCACATGAGGCACGGCTGCCATATTGGGCAGTGGCATGGGTTTAGATATTTGATCCGTGGTGCAGGGCCCCAGGTACTGGAGTCCCTGTGGGGCTCCTCTGGGAGCGTTTTGGGAGGTAGTTTAAGGGGTCCCCTAGGGCTCACACCTGCGGTTGGGCATGTAGTGTGGCCTGATTCCGGGAAGAGCCTGGGCCTCGATGTCAGACCTGAGGTCTCGTCCCAGCACGGCTAAGTCGTAGTCGGGGAGTTTCAGATTCTCGTCCTCACCACACATTGGATTCCCCTTCTGGGAATTCATGGAGGGACGCTGCCCTTCCAGGGCCTGGGGTGGTGGGGTGTGGTAGCTCATGTTGATTGGCAAGCCCCTGGTGTAGGGAAGGTGTCTGCTTTCTGCTGGGAGCACTCTCCAGTCCCCTGCTCCCTGGGACCATCCATGTCAGCCTTTGTACTCACACTTCAGCGTCATCCCCAGCTCAGTGCTGTTCGCAGCTTAAAACTCAGTTAGAATGGACTCCAGCTGACCTTTTGATTTTATTCTCAGAAATCTGAGACCACCCTCCAAGGTCAAAGTCTTGTTACTAGAAAGGGGTAAAGGTGACCCTGGCTTTGGATCCTCCTCCCCAAAGCTTGGCAGCGGTGGCAGCCTGAGCCCCTCTGGCGGCACCTTGCTCCCTGTGTGTTCTGCTTGGATTTGTTTTTTTAAAAAAGGACAGAGGGCAGGTGTTGTGGCTCACACCTGTAATCCCAGCACTTTGGGAGGCTGAGGCAGGCGCATCGCTTAAGGTCAGGAGTTCAAGACCAGCCTGGCCAATATAGTGAAACCCTGTCTCTACTAAAAAAACAAAAAATTGGCTGGGTGTGGTGGCTCACATTTGTAATCCCAGCACTTTGGGAGGCCGAGGCAGATGGATTTCAAGGTCAGGAGTTTAAGACCAGCCTGGCCAACATAGTGAAACCCCATCTCTACTAAAAACCTCATCTTTACAAATAATTAGCCAGGTGTGATGGCAGATGCCTATAATCCCAGCTACTCGGGAGGCTGAGTCAGGAGTGGAGGTTGCACTGAGCCAAGATCAGGCCACTGCACTCTAGCCAGGGCGACTGTGGGAGACTCTATCTCTAACTAAAAAGTAAAAATTTAAAAATTTTTAAAAAATAAAAAAAATAGCTGGGCATAGTGCACACCTGTAATCCCAGCTACTCAGGAGCCTGAGGCAGGAGAGTTGCTTGAACTTGCAGTGAGCCGAGACTGTGCCACCCTATGCCACACTCCAGCCTGGGAGACAGCGAGACTCAGTCTCAAAAAAATAAAAAAGTTGACTCTTCTACTTTCTTTTTCTTTTTTCTTTCTTTCTTTTTTTTTTGAGACCCGGTTGTTCCGTTGCACAGGCTGGAGTGCAGTGGCACAATCTCAGCTTACTGCAGCCTCCACCTCCCAGCTTCAGACAATTCTGGTATCTCGACCTCCCGAGTAGCTGAGATTACAGGTGCCCACCTAGCTAATTTTTGTATTTTTAGTAGAGACGGGGTTTCACCATGTTGTCCAGGCTGGCCTCAAACTCCTGACCTATAAGATCCGCTCACCTTACCCTCCCGAAGTGCTGGGATTACAGGTGTGAGCCACCGTGCCTGGCCTCTTCTGTTTAATCTCCTGTGGAATGCCATGTCCTGCTCTGCTTTGGCGGTCAGGACTAATTTTAAAAATCTGATTCAGGAAGCGAAGGATGAATTTTTATTTCAGAAAACCACTAGATCAGCCGTTCTGAACCCCGTGACCCACAGAGTTCCCATCCACAAGGCGGATCACGTGACCAGACAAGTTTTGGAGATCCAGAGCATCTCCATCCCCCTTTTAGATTCAGGGTGTCTCAGGGCAACCTCAGGGGCTCAGAGGGGCCACCTGAAAAAGGCCTTTTCTTCAGGTGCATTTCCCTTTGCCAAACTCACCTGGCTGCCATCTCACCCTCCGGGGCTGTGTGTTCCGCAGACACATTTGGGAAATGCAGCTCCAGATGTTGATGCTGTTTTGTGTTCGGGGAAGGGAAGGTACAGGTGTCTCACTTCCACAGGTGGCCTTCATGAACCAGCGCCGCGTGGATTTCTACCTTGCCTCCATCGAAGACATGCTTGTGGCCGTCGGTGGCCGGAATGAGAACGGAGCACTGTCTTCAGTAGAGACGTACAGTCCCAAGACTGACTCCTGGTCCTATGTGGCCGGCTTGCCAAGGTGATCTGGGGCTTGGGGGAAGGCTCTCCAAGCGGGATGGTTTTAGGGACATAGTTCAGTCCATGTGCCTCACATTCTGGGCAGGTTGGCCTCCAGTTCCAGGAAAGAAATCTTCCAGCTTGTGGGTAGCAGCAGGTACATGAGGAGGGGCAGAGGGCATGGTGGTGCGCAGTCCAGGCTCCGGTTTCAGACTCAGGGCAAGGGTCAGCTCTGCCACCACGACAGACATGCATTTCTCCGTGGCCTGAGTCTGTACCTTCACCGACTTTCAGAGGGTGAGGGACTGACCTGAGGATCTCCCTGAGGTTGCCCAGGAGGAACTCAAAGAGATGGCGGTATCTGTGCTAGGTCTGAAATGCAAGCGTGGGTCTTCAGTTCCTCATCTGTAGAGCGAGGTGATCATCGTGCCCGCTTCGCAGCACTGCCGTGCAGAGCAGATGCGGTGCCGCTGGTGAACCTGCACCCACATGCAGGGAGTGCCCCAGGGCGACCCTCGCCCTCCCAGTCTCCCTTGGTCCAGATGTGCACGTATCGAGCATTTGTTATTGTCGTGGGATTAGCAAAAGCTGCACACCATTTTTCCCACCAGCTCCCTGTTGCCGTACCCAGCAGCGGGCTTTTTGAACCAGTCTTTGCTGTGGAATACATCCCAAGAGGTAGAGGTGTGCGGGGTAAGCGCTCACGTTTTTGTTTTTCTATTTTTTGAGATGGAGTCTCACTCTGTCATCCAGGCCAGAATGCAGTGGCACGATCTCTGCTCACTGCAGTCTCCGCCTTTCAGGCTCAAGCCATTCTCCTGCCTCTGCCTCTCGAGTAGCTGGGCCTACAGGTGCACACGACCATGCCCAGCTAATTTTTGTATTTTTAGTAGAGACGGGGTTTCACCATGTTTGTCAGGCTGGTCTCAAACTCCTGACCTCAAGTGATCTGCCCACCTTGGCCTCCTAAAGTGCTGGGATGACGGGCGTGAGCCCCTGCATCTGGCCTTATTGATCCATTCTTACTCACTGGTTTGCATGATGGTTCCCACTTCCTGGCACAGTTTTGTGGGTTTTGAGGAACGCAGAACAACATGAATCCACCATTATACCATCATGGAGAATCATTTCACTGCCCTAAACGCCCCCCGTGCAATCCGCATCCAAGCCTACCTTCCCTCTCCCCACAGCCCCTGGCAGCCACTGATTTTGCTGTCTCTATGGTTTAGGCGAAACTTTTCCCGAGCGCCAGCACAGTTAGAATTATGCCGTATGTCAGATTCCCTCTCTGATGTGTGATTCATCGGGTGCCTGTGGGCCTGCTAGCACGTTGTCCTCATCATTTCCAGCCATTGTGAAGTGGGTGGTGGTCCTGTGACTATCCCCATTTCCCAGATGGGGTGAGGGAGACTCAGAGAGGGTGGAGCTGGGTTCTGGCCCAGGTGGCCTGACTGCAAAGCTGTCTCCTTCCCTGCCCTTACCTGCCATTTCTTGGCTAATGACAGCTGCTGTCTAGGAAGTATTCATGGGGTACCCACTCCCAGTATTCTTAAATTCTCATGGCCCCCTAAGATGGCAGGCCGTTCCCAGGCTCAGGGAGGGTAAGCCTGGCACAGCCCTGAGCTCTCCCTCTCTCTCTCTCTCTGTGCCCATCGACTCTCCAGGTTCACATACGGCCACGCAGGCACCATCTACAAAGACTTTGTGTACATCTCAGGGGGCCACGACTACCAAATCGGCCCCTACCGCAAGAACCTGCTGTGCTACGACCACCGGACGGACGTGTGGGAGGAGCGGCGGCCCATGACCACGGCACGTGGCTGGCACAGCATGTGCAGCCTGGGCGACAGCATCTATTCCATCGGGGGCAGTGACGACAACATCGAGTCCATGGAACGCTTCGACGTGCTGGGCGTGGAGGCCTACAGCCCGCAGTGCAACCAGTGGACCCGCGTGGCACCGCTGCTGCACGCCAACAGCGAGTCGGGCGTGGCAGTGTGGGAGGGCCGCATCTACATCCTGGGCGGCTACAGCTGGGAGAACACTGCCTTCTCCAAGACCGTGCAGGTGTACGACCGCGAGGCTGACAAGTGGAGCAGGGGCGTCGACCTGCCCAAGGCCATCGCCGGCGGATCCGCCTGTGTCTGCGCCCTAGAGCCGCGGCCGGAGGACAAGAAGAAAAAAGGCAAAGGCAAGAGGCCCCAGGATCGGGGCCAGTGACCCCGTCGTCACCTCCCAGGCCCCTGTAGACCAGCAGCGACTTCTTAGAATTCCGGAAACATTACGTACAACTTAGCAGCTTTTTTTACTTTTATGATTCTTGGTATTTCTATGATATCACAGTAACCAATTAAATACTATCTATAACTTCACATAATCTTGCTCGAATAACTAACCCTGGGCCCAGGCAGTGAGTAACCCCCTTGTACCTTTGCAGGTCTTTGTCCCATGTTGCCATTCCTCGTTGGGTCCTTGCTCACCATCCCCCTGAGAGTAGCTGGCACTTGGGTTACTCAGAATTTTTTGTAGTGAAGCTTGCGGCCTCAAAGGGCTATATATCTTAGATCACCTAGTCCAAGCCTCCCCAGACCTGGCTCAGCTTTTAAGAATACTGATTCCTGAGCCCCCTCAGAATTATGGAATCCAGAACCACGAGGAGCAGGGATGGGCCGTTAAAATACAGCCCAGAAACTGTATTTTAACTGGTTCTTGGAATTCTGGGCATCAGCCACATCTGGGAATCACCAGCAAAGTCAGGTGTGTTTGTTTTATGAGTGAGAGCACAGAGACTCCCAGGAGCGTGGGTGGGTGGGTGGGTGAGGGAGTGAGTCAGTGACGGGGGCCACGAAGCTCCCTGGACCGTCACGTGAGCTGTGGCAACTTCCCAGCAGGGCGCCATTCTCCATAGCAGGTGAACGTTGCTTCTGAATAATTCCAGCTTTCCTCATTGGAAACCTTGAATTCTAAAAGGTTACAGGCAACCAAGAGTGAAAATAGGTGTGAAGCTCTTTATAAATGTTACTCTGTAATTGGTGTATTCTTTTCCTTTGGCTTTCTTTCTTTCTTTTTTTCTGATCTCACTATCTTGTATTACTGATGTACTCAGCTCCCCAAATCTGTTTATTTCTCAGCAAAGAAAAAGTGATCGCTACAGAATTTGTGATTGTTCTCTGACTTTATCTTGAGGCACTGTGTGGACCCCTGAGAAGGCAGTGGAGGTCTCCCCCCAACTCCCACGCCAGGTCTCGCCCCAGTTTTCTGCTGCTAAGTAGTTTCACGCTGCTGGGCAAATTCTTGAAAAAATAGACCTGTTTCCTCGTTCATCCCCCTTGGCCACAGGGTTAGATGAAATACCCTCCAGGCTCCTCAGGGCGTCAGGGCTCCTCGACTCTGAGCTGTTCATACCCTGATGGCGTCCCTTTTAGGGTGCACTGACTCCTAGAGCTAGTATCTGTGTCGCTTGCCCTTTAGGAGGGCTCTGGGCTGCCCGAGCGGATGAGAAATGCGCAGAACTGTGGGAGGTTAGGAGTGTGGTGCGTTTTAAGCATGGGCCAAGGAAGGCGTGAATCAGCTGAAGGCAGAGATCAGAAAACCTCAGGATGTGCTTCATCTTCATTCCCAGTCTAACACGTCTTCCTGCAGACAGCTCTGGGAGCAGGTATCAATGTCTCTTGCCCTTTAAGAGTGCTTTCAGCTGGCCAAGTGGATGAGGATCAAGTGTTCAGATTGATACTAGACAAGGAAAAACGTTAACATTTATTTCCGTTTCTTCTGCTTCTTTACTGCACCCGCTTTCCCGTCTCTACAGGGTTTACTGTGTTTCCATTGGTCTGTTTCTGTAGCCTTACAGGAGAGATGAGAGCATTTGGGGGACCGAAAGCTTCGATAGCCAAGTGCCTGCCCTCCGTTGCGAGTGAGGTGAGCAGTCTGCATATTTTGCTAGCTAGTCATTTGCATGTGACGTCCCTGGAGGCGCACAGACTATTGAGAGGTTCTGCAAGGCGTACAAACAAAGCCAAAAGCTGTGAGCTCTGGAGCTCTGCAGCGCTGCTGTGTGAAAGGCTCTGAGAAGTCCTGCATTCATTTACCCTTCCATTAACCCAGCATTGCCAAACTTCTTGGAGCCTGAAACTCTTTTTTGTCTCATATCTAGTCCCAGGCCCCCACAAAACATGTTTTGCAGAACTGCCAACTGTGGGATAGCCCACCTCCTTCCTATTCTGGAAAGGTTTTACTGCTTGAAGTCCCTCAGAAGGCAGGGGAGTGGTGCACACAGTCTCCTCCCCCGCTCAGCCTAGGTTATGAACAAATGGGTGGTGGTTTGACCTGAATCTCGGGCCGCTGGGGAAAGCACATAGAAAGACTCCGTGAGTGATTTGAGGAGAGGATAGCTTTGATCCTGGGGAGCGGAGAGCCGCTGGTTTTTAGCCTAAGCCAGCTCTTCTGTGTTTTGCTTCTGGGACTTGTCCCTGGAGATGTGTGAACTGCTGGCTCCCATTCTGATTCTCTTGTGCCTCATGGGTTACATGTGACATCCTGTGCCTAAAATTTTATGGTCTCTCCTGAGACTGTTAAGGGGGTTTATAATTTACATGGCCTGGAATCTAATATGAATAGGGCTGGGAGCGCTCCTTAGGAGAATAAACCAGTTTCGTCTTGTGGGCCAACTTTCAATATTTGTTGGTGACTACACTGTAACAAGAAAGGTTTTTGAGCTTGTTGGGGTCAATAGATGGGCACAAGAGTGCCACGTGTACCTGGGGCAGGGTTTTGTTACTTGTGTTTGTAAGTTGAAAAGTCACTCTGCTGTGCAGTCTAACTGAAAATGGACGAGACCACGCTTGGGCAGCATGGCAAAATCCCATCTCCACAAAAAAATATATATATAAAAGGTTAGCCAGGGATGGCGGGACATGCGGCAGTCCCAGCTACTTGGGAGACTGACGGGGGAGGATCACCTGAGCCTGGGAGGTTGAGGCTGCAGTGAGCCACGTCATACCACTGCACTCCAACCTGGGTGACAAAGTGAGACCCTGTCTCAAAAAAATAAAACGGTGCTTAACTCCGACGGGCAGAGTTTGGGCTGTACCTATGCAGGGGCCATTTGAACTGCACAGTCACGATAGCAGGCCTTCAAACCAGAGTGACGAAGGCACAGGCTCCTGCAGGCTACCATTTGTAGATGGGAAGAGCCACGCGTGTCACCGTGTTGTTAAACCGTCCCTGCTTCAGGCTGCTCTGCGGGAATGTTGAGGACACCTGTATCTTTGTTATTTTTTTAAATCTTTCAAAATACGCCTGGCAGGCTTCTGTTTAGGTTTGGGCTTTTCTCATTTCTCAAGAATTAAAGTTGTAACTTCATGTGAGTTGCAAGTTTGGGGTTTGGTCCTTACCCAAGTTGGAAAGCTGTTTGCTTAAGACATAAATGTGTCACCCTAACAGAAGGGAGAGAGTTACAGCTGATGAACCCTTGTTGCTTATAGAGATCTTTCTGCTGTTTAAAATGCACAGAGATTATTTTATCAACTTACTGTACTTGGCATGAAATTGGTATTTTTATCCTTCTGCCATTTTATTGAGGCTACCAAGTGGGACTTCAGACCTTGCTCTGAGCAGAACCACGTGTATATTTTTACTGAGTGCCCCACTCATGATAAAGTGACCTCATGGAGACCCGAAAACTAACCCTTAGGGGTGTTCAGCTTTCAGGTGGGCACGCAAATGATGAGGGGGAAGTGGGGTTCATCCTCTGAGGTCCAGGGTCCTACTTTGTGAGCTCAGGTGTGTTCACCTGTGGTTCAGTGTACCTTGGCTCCTAAGCCAAGTGACCGTTCAGTGACTTGCAGCAATTGGGAAGTGAAAGGACCTCTGCCGCCACCAACCTTCGTCCTTCACCCTAGTTCTCCGTGGTATAGCAGCATCTCACGAGCCTTGTGGCTCTCAGAGTTTGTGGCTGGAGCCCGCCCACTGGTTCCCAAACCTGGAGAGGCAGGTGCAGATGAGGTTTGGACCTCCTGTGTCTCCATGGACTCTCAGTGCCTGGGAGGGGAGGGAAGGGCGTGGCATCCTGGCCTCCAGGATAAATGCCTGGAGTATAGGGCAGCGCCGTGGGCATGTGCAGACCCTGTCCTGTGCCTCTGCCAAGCCTGGCAGTTTTAAGAGTTTTTTGAAATGTTTTGATACTTTTTGATACAATTCGCTAATAACTGTTTTGTAGAATGCCTGCCGGGGTTTTCCACCTCATCCCCTTCCTCCAGCCCCTTGATTTGTGCTGGACAACAAATGGCCAGTGGTCTGCACTAGGACCTCGCCTCCTGTGGCTTTGTCTTGGATCTTGCCCTTTGTTGCTGATCCAGTACAGCTCTAGAATGTCCTGAATTTGCATGCAAAGTCGCATGCGGCCGATGGGTATAACTGTCTCAGACCCTCAGCTGATTTGCTGAGAGGAAACCTTAACTCCCTTGAGAGGGTCTGGGTTTCTTCCAAAGCTCCTACCTCAGTGGTGTGCACAGAGTTGGAGAGACACCTGAGGGCTGGTCCATGTGTCACCTTTGCCATACGGGTCATTTCTTGATCAAATATATGACTGGGGTCCTGGTTTACTCCCGTCCACCCTTTCTTTTAAAGTATTCTTAACATGAAATCCACAAAAGCAGAAACAGTGAACCATTCTTGCACTTTACAGAATCATTGTCTTTAGCTTTAGAAGTTGTTAATTTCTTCTTGTTGTTTTTAACATGAATAGTATGTGTGGCTTCAGAAGGTGTGGGGGGGGTCTCAAGAAATTGTCCTTTGCATCTGGGCGCAGTGGCTCATACCTGTAATCCCAGCACTTAGGGAGGCCGATACGGGTGGTTCACCTGAGGTCAGGAGTTTGAGACCAGCCTGACCAACATGGTGAAAACCTGTCTCTACTAAAGTACAGACATTAGTCGTTCCTGGTGATGGGCGCCTGTCATCTCACTACCCGGGAGGCTGAGAAAGGAGAATCGCTTGAGCCCAAGAGGTGGAGGTTGCAGTGAGCTGAGATCGCGCCACTGCACTCCAGCGTGGGTGAGAGCGAGACTGTCTCAGAAAAAGAAAAGAAAAGAAATTGTCCTTTGGTTGCCTTAGTTACTAGAGTTGAATCAATGTACACATTTGGTATTGGGGAACGGCGGGGCAGGGGGAGCAGAGCAGATAGATAACCCCCTTCCTTGTCTATTTCCTTTGAGAAAAGAGACTCCACCTTTTCCAAGTGACTTAAAGCCATCTTTACAGATAGCTTGTAATGTAAGCAAGGAGTCATGTCCTTTGGAGGGATTGAGGTTAAATCATCAACCACAAGCCCCCTTTCAAAATCAACGAGATAGTTGATGATTGTGATTAATTGGGTATGTTCTGACTGCCGACGTCACTGAAATCTGCCTTCGTGTGTGTTTTTTAATTTGTTGCTTCTGTATTTCTGATTTTATGACATTCGAAGTTATTCTGTGTCTTAACTCTTTTTAATTAATTTTCTGCACGTTGCTTTTTTTCTGTTTTTAATTCCATACAGAGTATTCAATTCTTGAAACACATTAAAATAATCTGCTTGCTAGAGTATGGTCTGTTTTATAATTCCGTTCCTGTTCCTGTGTGGTTACCATAATGCTCTCTGGTCCTGATTTCTCTGCCCATATGAAAAAAAAACCCCTTGCACGTTGATCCTAAATATAATTTGGAAATTAACCAGACATCCTTTTAGCGTTGTGGGAGGCTGGGACATTTCAATTCTGCTTTCATTGTGTTTCTAATTACTGTATTTTGCCAGGAATTTCATTCAGATCCTTGATTGCAGCGATACCTCCCCATGACCCGAAATGAAACTATTTGCTTAGATGTGTGTCAATTGGGGTAATTTGATTAGAAAAGAAACACAGAAGCCAAGGGAAACATTATGGCAAGTAGTGTGCTGTCTCTATCAGAAAAATGCAATCACAATACTATAAGAACAGAACCAGCTGTTTCCCTTCTGGCACTCTCCTGCCTTGCTGGGGTTTTGCAAGGCTCCCAGCAGACAAGCCCAGTCACAGTTGTGTGCCCTTTCCCTGTCGGGGACGGTGCAGGAGGGGTACCTACACAGCCATCACACCTGGTAAGGTGGTTAGAATTTGCCTCTGAGCCAATGAGCTCCAAACAAGACCTGCTGCCAGATGCTGACTTCCTCACCTGGGTTCTTTCCCGTCCGCTTCAGAAGCATCTCAGGCTACGTTGAGACCCTCCCCATTTTCCAGGTGAAGAATCCAAAGCTCAGGTTAATTACCCCAATTGAATTGTCTTCCCTGCCCAGCCAATCAGTTGTTGCCTTGGTTTGGCGATGTCTCTCTCTCTTTCTTTTTTTTTTTTTTTAAACGGAATCTCGCTCTGTTGCCAGGCTGGAGCACAGTGGCACAATCTCAGCTCACTGCAACCTCCACCTCCCAGGTTCAAGCCATTCTCCTGCCTCAGCCTCCTGAGTAGCTGGGATTACAGGGGAGCACCACCACACACAGCTAATTTTTGTATCTTTAGTAGAGATGGGGTTGACTAAGATGGGTCAAAAAGTTGACCAGGATGGTCTCGATCTCCTGACGTCATGATCCACTGTGCACCTCAGCCTCCCATATTATTGGGATTACAGATGTGAGCCACTGCATCCGGCTGGTTTGTGTTTTCTTGGATGCAGGTAGGGTGGTGAAGTGGTCCCTGGGAAGCCAGAATGCCAGGAGGAAGGACGAAAGGCCCACAAGAAGGTGCTTTATTGCTGAGTAACAAATCAGTCCCAAGCCACAGCTTCCGACAATATTTATCACGGTGGACAACTGTAGGTGGATTGGGCTGAGCCCGGCAGCTCTCCCCTGCGGCTCCTGCGTGGTCACATGGTCATGGACAGGTGGTGGCTCTTGAAGGCATGAGAAGAACACACAGAGGCCTCCTCCAGCATCTCCCTCTCCCCTCTGCCTCTCTCCCTGCCTTCGCTACTCTTTCCCCTTCTCTTCCCTGCCCCCCAATCTTTTTCTCTCTCTTTCCCTCCTTGTCTACTTTGGTCTCACTCTTTCTGGTCTCTTTATATGGTGGCCTCACCTAGATTGCTTACATGGCAGCCAGAGGCTCCCAGAGCAAACATCCCAAGTGGAAAGAGCAGAGGCCCTGTGGCTTCTTCCAGCACCACCTGGGAAGTCAAGGTCTCTGTTTGCTGCATTTCACCCCTTGAGGCCATCAGAAAAGCTCCCCCAGGTTCAGTGTTGCTGGCCCCGTGGGAGGTGTCAGCCATGTCCCCTCCCCAACCCTGGAATCCTGTCTCCAAACCACAGAGGAGCTGGGCCCAGTGGCTCACACCTATAATTCCAGCACTTTTAGAGACGTAAGCTGGAGGATCGCTTGGACCCAGGAGGTTGAGCCTGGGCAACACAGGGAGACATCTGACTCTATAAAAAAAAAAAATTTTTTTTGAGACAGAGTCTTACTCTGTCACCCAGGCTGGAAAACAGTGTGGCATGATCTCGGCTCACTGCAACTTCCACCTCCTGGGTTCAAGCAATTCGCCTGTCTCAGCCTCCCAAGTAGCTGGAATTACAGGCACAAGCCACCACACCCAGCTAATTTTTGTATTAGTAGAGATGGGGTTTCACCATGTTGGCCAGGCTGGTCTCAAACTCCTGACCTCAGGTGATTGGACCACCTCGGCCTCCCAAAGTGCTGGGATTATAGGTGTGAGCCACTGCACCTGGCCAAAAAAAAAGTTTTGTAATTAGCCAAGCATAGTAGCTTACACCTGTAATCCAACCACTGGGTGGCCGAGGCAGGAAGATCACTTGAAGCCAGGATTTCAAGACCCCATTTCTACAAAAAAAAAAAAAAAAAAATTCAGCCAGGCGTGGTGGTGCATGATTGTAGTGTTAGCTACTTGGGAGGCTGAGGCAGGATTGCTTGAGCCTGCAAGGTTCAGGCCGCAATGAGTTGTGATCACAACACTGTACTCCAGGCTGGGCTACCGAGCCTGCTCTTTCTTTTTTTTTTTTTTTTTTTTGAGATGGAGTTTTCGCTCTGTCGCCAGGCTGGAGTGCAGTGGTGTCATCTCAGCTCACTACAACCTCTGAGTCCCTGGTTCAAGTGATTCTTCTGCCTTAGCCTCCCGAGTTGCTAGGATTACAGGCACATGCCACCACACCCAGCTAATTTTTGTATTTTCAGTAGAGATGGGGTTTCACCATGTTGGCCAGGTTGGTCTCAATCTCCTGACAATGTGATCCACCTAACTCAGCCTCCCAAAGTGCTGGAATTACAGGCATGAGCCACAACGCCCTGCCAGATCCTATTCTTTTTTAAAAAACAAAACCCTCAGTGGGAAGAAGGCACTTTCCTAAGGTCACTGCCTCAGGCAGCGGGGGGTTTGATGTTGCTGGGCCCCCGTGCTATCTGGTAGCAGAGCATTTCTGGGGCCTGCGCTGCTCAGTGTTGACTGCTCCCAGAGGCCTTAGCGCACTTCGGCTCCTGGCTACTGTGTGCACACAGAGCCAGCCACCAGCTGAGCAGGGCCTGTGTGATCCTGGGATGAAGCGCAATGTGTGATGGAGGGGATACTGTCAGCACGTGGCCACATCTCCAGTACAGTCCTTGGAGATGGACCTGGACTCTATGAGAAATCTGAAGACCAGCTTGGAGAACAGCCTGAGGGAGGTGGAGGCCCGCTACGCCCTGCAGATGTAGCAGCTCCATGGGATCCTGCTGCATCTGGAGTCAGAGCTGGCACAGACCCAGGCAGAGAGACAGCACCAGGCCCAGGAGTACGAGGCCTTGCTGAGCATCAAGGTCAAGCTGGAGGCTGAGATCGCCACCTACCATCACCTGCTGGAAGATGGCGAGGACTTCAGTCTTGGTGATGCCCTGGACAGCAGCAGCTCTGTGCAAAGTGTCTGAAAGACCACCACCTGCCAGACAGTGGATGGCAAAGTGGTGTCTGAGACCAATAACACCAAAGTTCCGAGACATTAAGCCAACAGAAGCAGGGGACCCTTTGGGTCAAACAAATAAAATGTTAAAGCAATATTTCCCTCCATTCTCAGATTTCTGTGTATTGGTCTCCTACATAGCTACAGGTTGAGAGCCAGAATTCAGGCTTCCCTGCTTAGATTCTAGAACTGGGGTTAAAACGGTGAGACTAGAGGCAACATTCATCTCAGATCTGCATGAGAGCAGAGCTCAGGGCATCCTCCAGAGGGCACGCTAGAGCAGCAGTTCTGAAAATGCCATCCCTAGACCAGCAGCTGCTGTACCAGCGGGAACTTAGCAATGCAAAGTGTCAGAGTCACCCCAGACCAGCTGAATCAGCCACTCCTGGGATGGGGGGCTGGCATGTGTGTGTTTACAAGCCCTTCCGGTGGTTTTTTTTGTTTTTTTTTTTTGAGACAGAGTCTCACTCTGTTGCCCAGGCTAGAGTGCGGTGGCGCGATCTCTGCTCCCTGCAACCTCCACCTCCCAGGTTCAAGCTATTCTCCTGCCTCAGCCTTCCAAGTAGCTGGGATGACAGGTGTGTGCCACCGTGCTTGGCCAATTTTTGTATTAGTAGAGAAGGGGGTTTCACCAAGTTGGCTAGGCTGGTCTCAAACTCCTGATCTCAAGTGATCCACCCACCTTGGCCTCTGAAAGTGCTGGAATTACAGGTTTGAGTCACTGTGCCTGGCTCCCTCCTGGTGATTCTGAAGCCTGCTCAAGTCTGAGAACCACTGTTTGCCAAAGGTATCTGTCTCCATTCTCTACCCACAGACCTGCCTGGCTGTGAGTCCCTACCTAGTAGCCAACTGCTATGCCTGGCTTGCTCTGGCTGAATCCTGAACCATGGGGCTGCTTTCAGGTTACGCACAGCCTGGTCTAGGGGTATCTGAATCTTCTGTCTTGGGAAGCCTGTGAAAGGCCTTGGAGTCAGCCTCTGTAGGGGTACGCACCTGCTGCCTCCCAGAGAAAGTCACCTCCTCTGTGCGCTTTCTGTTGATGGCAGGAGTAAGACTGGGACATGGCCCAGCCCTTTAACTGGTCTCCAGCATCCGCTGGCTATATGCTCAGAACATGCTCCAAGTATGGCCTCACGCTCTGTTTGGATGAGATCCTTTTACCAGGCCTGCTGCAATTGTGTGATTCATCCCCCCAGGGGCCCTGGCCCCACTCTTGCAGGCATCTAAAGGTGCTATAAATATGTAACCCCTAAATGTGGTTCTGTATTTCTGCGTGTACCAGTACTGTGGGCCTTTTTTTGCTCCCAGCTGAAATTGAAGAGGCCTGGATTCTGATATAAGGCCCATGATCAATGGGCCTCCAGCAAGGCCTCACTCATCATCTCCTGAATGTAGATGGGGCCTAGATCATGTCTCTGTGATGTGGACGAAGCATGGGGCTATGAGTCAGGAAGTGTGGGTTGTAGCCATGGCTCCATCACATGCACTTCATCGGGTTCAATTTCAGTTCCTCACATATGGGAAGAGATGGTTGGAGATTAGAGCTCCTCGGGGTGCGATCTGCAGAGCTCTTGTGCACCAAGCAGCTGCCGAAAGAAGTCTGTGGTCAGAAAGCATTTGGGGAGCTCT